TTACGTATTCAGAGCAATTCAAATGACAGCCGCAACACTCAACGAAGGATTCTTCTTGAGAGGATAAAAACGATTGCAGAAAAGAAACAAAACCATAATGTCGAAGGAAAAAGAGGTATCACTTTCCCTAAAGATTGCTTACTATTTTGAAAGGTTGAAGTGTGCTTTGTTATAGCTCTGGATCAACCGCTATCTGAACAAGATCGCGAACTGCTTATACGAATAGCTGAAGCAGTAGAGAGGTAGTATTGGATGTTATCAGCGATAAATCCCCAACAACAATTGTTTTGCTGCAGATACAAAAGAAATCCCTTTGATGATGTTGAAAAAGACACCAGCGAAGCATCCACTATTGCGAAAAAGGGAGGAGAGGAGCAATCTCAACGTGAATCTCACAGTGACTCCGACCTGCGCGAGAAGGAAGGTGCTGGTGATGTGGAGGTCAAGGAAGAAGGAGTAAGCTTCATTTTCTTAGAGCTTGAATTGTAAAACAAAAAAAAAATCTAATTTTTTGGTAAATCACGCATGTTTTCAGTTCATTGAAGAGCATGACGGTAGCGAAAGAAAACTAAAAGAGAAAGAAACACATCATGATGGTGAGAGCTTCTATGTTTTGTTTTTCTGCTCACTGTCAGTATAGAAACATAATCCACTTTAAGGATGCGGCAGATCTTGCCGCAAATTATGTCAGTTTTGAAAGCATGTTAATTTCCATATATTATTACTCATTATCCTTTTTGAAAATTTATTTTTGCAAAGTTTTGTTTAGTTCGAAATTTACAATTTTCGCCGGATTTATCATTTGAGTAGAATGGGACTATTGCGGCAAGAAGGGCTCTGAATGTTAAGGCACCTTGGCAATTTAGAATACTTTAACGCAAATTGACCACGCGCACAACATAGTAGTTAGAAATTTGGGAAAAAACAGAAAAAAAAATATTTGTTACGGCACTGTCACCAGCTTTATACTCGCAATAGTGAAAAAGTGAGAAAATTTGAAACATGAATAAGCAACAGAAGGTGATTTCCTTAAACTCTTGCAATCGTTCCCTTTATGGAATCCGAAAGTTTTTTAGTAGAATCTCAATTCTGACAAAAAGGAGGCGTTTCGTGACAATCGTAGGAGTAAGTCAATAATTTTCTGCATTTCCCTTACCTCCAAGACCCCTCAGCCCATGTACAAGCCAGCAATTCTGCGGGAAAGGTAATGATAGTAAATAGTGGTCCAGAGAAAGTAGATTAGACTGAAGTCTTGGAAGGAGGTATAAATATGACAGCGGATAATGCATGTATGGAATGTAATGTGAGTAATGCACTATAGCGAAGATCGAAATCATAATTGGGAAATAGAACTGAGGTTTCTTCGAAATAGCGGGAAATATCAAAATCATTCCGATCAGCGACAAGGGAGGTGAGTTTGTGGTTATCCCCCATCAATTGGACGTTGCGATAACAGAAAAGCATATTCAGGATGCCATCCTTTATAGAATGTCTTCCGTTGATGAATTTCAAAAACATTACCGCAATTTAAACAAGGAATGGACAAAGACAGCGAAAGCAGCAAAATTACCACCTGATATAGTGAGGCGCCTCCGAA